CAGAGGGAAAACAAAGACATTGTTTCAACAATTGGAACAGTCAACAGTACATGAAATAAGTTATTTAACTTGAGAAACATGAAGCATGCTTCTCTCTGAGCTGCAAAAGTATAAAAATTGCAACATCTTCAGAGTAGCCATGCAAGTGACCTGAGCCTCCTTCGAGGCTGCTCGGTACTGTTTCTGAGCCTGGGCCTCAAGGGCTTCTGCTTTTGCCTTCTTGCCATCTGAAGACTCTCAATTTAATCTACTGGGGGATGAGAAGCCACATGGAGCAGAGATAAGAAATGCAACCTGTGGACAAATTAGAGTGCACCAAACAGGAGCAATGTAAAACCACCTTAGACTATTTCCTTAGTCCATTCTGTGCTGCTAAAACAAAATACTTGATGCTGGGAACTTCATAAACAAAAGAGATTTGTTTGGCTCTCAGTTCTGGAGGTTCAAGAGCACAGTGCTAGTGTCTGCTCAGATCTGGCAAGTGCCTCATTATGGATGACACCACAATGGTGAGAGTGTGGGAGAGAGTTGCAAGCTGTGCACATGTTAGAGGGGTTCAGGAGACGTGGCAGGCCCCCCTTGTAATAACTCAATTCATTAAAACTAGATCTGGAGGGAACTAGTCCAAACCCACAAGACATCTGTTAATCCCTTCAGAGGGTGGAGCACACATGACCTAATTATCTTCCACTAGGCTCCACCTCTTAAAGGATCTGCCGCCTCAACACCACCACACTGGGGAATATGCTTCCAGCACAGGAACCTTTGGGAGACACACCTGAACCATAGCAGTCCTCCAGCATCAGTCAAGAGGCCAGATGATTACAACCACATCGTGATCCCAGGTGAGGCTAGCAGAACTGTGCATCTAAATCCAGCCCAAACTGCTGATCCACAGAATCAAGAGTTAATAAAACGGTTATTGTTTAAACCACTAAGTTTTAAGGTGAGTTCTTACATAGCAATAAATGACACAACAAGCTAAAATCATATCAGCTCTCAAGACCATATTTGATAACAGTCTGGGGACTCCCATAGCCACCTGCAAACTCTTGCTGAGCCAGACAATTTTAAAAGAAAAACAGCAACTTGTACATTGGTTAATTGTGCATCTGTCTCCCCCAGGGGCTAGATGACCTTAGGGCTGTAACTCATTCTCCTACATGGTTTCATTCTGCACATTGTGCTGAGCCAGGGTCTAGAATACAGCAGGTGCTCAATAGGTATTTATTCAATTAGTGAAATGCCTTGGGACCTGTTTGGATTGAACATCTGCTCAGATTACTGTAGCAGTCTCCTGACCCTCTCCCCACACCTAGGCTCCTCAAATCAGATAAAAAAAACTTTCTAATATGTGAATCTATCCAAGAGTGACCCCTAATCCAGAGCTCTCATTGGTTCCCCATTGCCCTTACTATGAAGTTCCATTTCTTTGGAATGATTTATAAAATCCTGCAAATTCTTGACTCCAAAGTTGCAAAGATCATCTTGTATTACTCTCTCCCTTGCTCTAAACCTTGTCACAGGGATTTCTTCCTGCTCCTTTCAAAGACCACACTCTGTGTCTCTGGACCTTTACACATGCTATGCCTTCTAGCATAGCATCACCAACACCAGCATGCTAGTCCTGGGGCGTGGCTAAATCTTACTCACCCTTTAGTATGTTTGATTGTCTGTTTTGTCTGAATGGAGAAATGACAAGCAGTATGGATATACACTGATTTGTGGGTAGTGGCTAATAATTTGAGTGGAGGGTCAGAGACTCAGAAAGCACAAAATTGGAGGATTGGCAATAAGGAAAATGGGAAGAGATATTCAGATGAGTTTATAGAAATGGCACAAAATGTGAAGATATTCGCATCCTAAGTAATATCTCACACAAGGCATCCATGACAGAGGATGCTCTTGATAATCAGAAGGACAAAATGGCATGTTCTGTGGATGTCAGTCTTTCTCTGGTCCCTCCAGTGTTTTCTCAGGAAGCTCATATACATGTGCTCCCGGTAGCTAGAATGCAGACTATGCAGTCAACAACATGGATTCACCTCATCAAGATTGATCTGGCCAATGCCACTACTGTATGTCCCATGTGTTATCAACAGAGACAAATGCAAAGTATCTAATATGTCATCCTTCCAACAGGGGTCTCCCTAAGCACCTGGTGCCAGGTGGATTCCACTTCCCATTGTAGAATGGACATGGTTTATCCTTACTGACTCATTCAGAATATGTTTCCAGGAATCCCAGGAAGTTAGTGAGAGTGGCCTCTCTCACAAAGACACTGGTGGGTCACTGTATTAATTTCCTATGGCTACTTTAATAAATTACTTTAAACTTGATGGCTTAAAATAACAATAATGTATTCTCTCGAAGTTCTGAAGGCCAGAAGTTCAACATCAATTTCACTGGGCCTAAATCAAAATGTGGGCAGAGCTGTACTCCCTCCAGAGCTCTCAGAGAATTGATTCCTTGACTCTTCCAGCTTCTGGGGCTGCCACCCTTCCTTTGCTATGGCTGCCTCACTTCCACCTCTGTTTCTGTCTTTATCCCACATCCTCCTTTTCTGTGTGGGCAGTCTCCCTCTGCCTCTCTTTTATTTATTATTTATTTATTTTCTAACACATTTTTTTTTAACCCTAAGAGTCTTGCTAAGTTGCCTGGGCTGGTCTTGAACTTGTGATCCTCCTGCCTCAGACTCCTGAGCCACTGGGATTGCAGGGATGCACCACCACACACAGTTCTGCCTCTCTTAAAAAAAAAAAAAATTGTGGAGCTGGGGTAGGGTGGTACCTACCTGTAGTCCTAGCTAATTGGAAGGTTGAGGCAGAAGGATCACAAATTCAAGGCCAGCCTCAGCAACTTAGCAAAATAAAAGATAAAATAAAAGATAAAAAGGGCTGGGCAAGTAGCTCAGTGGTAAAATACCCCTGGATTTAATACCCAGTAAACAAAAGAAAGAAAGAAGACATTGTGGGCTGGGGTGTAACTTAGTGGTAGGGCAAACATGAGGCCTTGGGTTTGATTTCTGATACCACCCAACAACAACAAAAAGACATTTGTGATTGGATTCAGGACTCATTCTATAGTCTGGGATCATCTTCCCATGCCGGGATCCTTAACTTAATCGTTTCTACAAACAAGATGACATTGACTGGTCCCAGAGATGAGAACTTGCTCTCTTAGGTGGCCGTTTTTCAGGCTACTATATACACTCACAGAACTTTTACTTCTGGTCCCTACAAGTCTGGACTCTTAATTTGAAGGTCTCAATTTTCAAGGGAAGGGAGGCAACAGTTTTCATTGGACTGGAAGTTAAAACTCCCCTCTGGCCATCTTCTACTCCTCATGGCACTGAACCAACAGACAAAGAAAGAGTTAACGTCCTGGCTGCATGACTACTCCCCACTACCAAGGAGAGAGGAATCCAGGGAATTCCATAGGCCTCTTAGTGTACTCAGCCCTCCCAATATGTAGATTCTGAATCTCCAGATACAGCCAACTGCAGATGGAGGGGAAAACACACACACATACACACACACACACACACACACACACACACACACACTGCATTTGTACTGAACATGTACAGACTTTTTTCCCTATCATTATCCAGGATAGCTTTATATAGCATCCCCATTGTATTAGGTTTTATGAGTAAGGTAGAGATTATTTAAAAAATACAGGAAGATGTGCATAGGTTATATAAAAATACTACCTCATTTCATGTAAGATTTAAGCATCCATGGATTTTGGTATCCGCAGTAGGTCCTGAAACCAAACCCAGTGGATTCCAAGGGATGGCCATGCTCCCATGTACAACAGTAAAAGTTAATGAAAAGCTACCAGAAAGAAGTCTATTGCAGCTATGCACATTTTCTTCTTTTTTTGGTGCGTGTGTGCGTGGGTGCTGTATAAATAAATGAATGTTTTCTTTCCTCCTCCTCCTTTTCCCTTATTATTTCATAGAAAGATTTTGTAAATGATTGCTAACTTGAGTTTAGTGTTTAGTTACAGATGGGATTGTGATTGAATTAGAGCAATAATTAACATCACCCAAAAATGGATTCGGTGACTGTGGCTATGAGATCAATCCATCTGTTGGACTGTGGGGTTTTATGCTTTTCCTATTTGAAGGAGTTTAGAGTGTCCTCATTTGTATGAAGGAGAGTTTTGTTTCATGAAGTGAAAGCTACCATCATTAGATAGATGTTCCAATGTGCATGGGTTGATGTGCATGGATACTGAGTGTCAGAGCTGGTCTATTTCCTAAGAACAGCGTTTTATACTCTGATGCTGAGGTTTTGACATTAAAAGGTGAGAGGAGAAGGCAGAAGTGGAGGTTTTTCCCTTTGCTTCCCATCTTTATCAGCGATAGCCAGAAGTCAATCCCAGACTTCAGCTTTTTTTCTGCAATCACTGTGTCCTTTAAAAGATCAACCAGAGTCCCTCCTCTTTAGATCTCTGTGCACCGGAACTACCTCCTCCATAAGCTTGTGGGTTCTGATGACCCCAACCTTGTCCTATATTCCCGCTGCTCTAGGAGGAGTCCCTGTATCCTGCAGCTACTTTCTCTAGGTTCTCTCAGTGTTCTCTTTGTCCTTTTGGCCTTCCTACAACAGTGTAACCCACTCCCCATAGTAAATTTTGTTGAAAAATCTACCATTGTTTCTGTTTTCCTGGTCCAATGCTAACTGAAGAAACTATTAGAAAACTGGTATCCACTTTTCATTCATCATCATGAGAGCTCAGCCTGCTTGAGAGGAAGGCTGAAACAGGAGACAGATTCCTCACACATCTAAGCACCTGGATCCAACTGTACATGAAGCCACATCTATCCCCTCTTTAGTTCTCTGGGTCAATATTTCATGTTTTGCTCAAGCCATATGGGATTGGATTTTTTCTGTATACAAGAAAGAGTCCAAACTAATCCAAATCTCTTTGTCCCTACCCCCAAATCAAATTCCTCATCCACAGCCACCAAACAAAACCAAGACCAACAACCTCCTACTGAAAACTTTAATGAAACCAATAAGTTAATAAGTTAACAAAGTGAGGTACTTGCATATTTGAGAACCAGGTTGGTGAGGGAACCTCAATGGTGGAAGGAGGGAGGGCTGCTTCCCATGCCTCCTTTGGTCACAGGGTAATCCTATTCTCCTGCCCTCTCTGAAGATCTGTCTCTGAAGGGATGGAGGGGTGGCTCTCTAGGGACAGTGCAGTGCAAATGAGGCGAGCCAGGATAGGCTCCATCCGGGGCATGATGGTACATGCAGAGGGCATGGTAGGGCAGAGGCTGGGCACCCTGGGGCTGAGCAAGATCCAACCCAAGCCCTGGTGCTGGTGCATGCAGGTCCCCAGTTATGAGATGCAGGCAGCTTGGCCTCAGCCCCCTTGTTCCCTGGTACCCCACAGAGGGTTGCCATTGATCCACTACCCCTCACCCTCCTGCCACCTGCTTGGCTTTGCAGAAGAGGAACGCAGGAGTGGGGATTTGAAAGTGGGGCTGAGGGCCCGCAGTGGATGGGCACTTATGCAAGATGCAGGGCTGCCAACTGAAATGGAGAAGTAGGTAGGGAGCAGTGCAGGTGAAAGGCAGGTACACAGGTGGTATATCGTCCAAGTGCATTATTATGCTCTCTGGGACCAGGAAGGAGTGGGCCTGGGGTCTCTCCAGTGGTGTGTGGGTCCTAGAGGCCTAGGCCTGAGTTGTGCTGTGGGGACACCAAGGAGGGCCCTCAGGGGCAGAGGCAGCAGTTAGAGTTCCTGGTCCAGCGAGGAGTCTACCTTCTTGAGGAAGGGGAGCTGGTAAAGCCCTGGGCCAGGACAGACTTTAAAGCTCCCTCTTCTGGTCAGAGGGAGTGAGGGGCTTCCTCTTAGTGGAAAGGACAGTCCACTAGCTCAGCTGCAGAGACTCAGGAAAGGCTGAGTGACTCTGTGCTCATGTGTCCAAGCATGTGTGGTTTTGTGCATCAGTACGAACGTGAGGATTTCTCTGGAGAAGCTAAAGGAACTTGTGTGACTGTCCATGGAGCACTGTCTGGGAAGTGTGGGGAAAATACAGAAACTTGTGTTGTCAAAGGTGTCTGGAGGACCAAAGAGAGGAGAGGACATCCAGCAGGAAAAGGAAGCCCCTGGAGGTGACATCTGCAAAAGGGAAGAAAGGCCCAAGCACTGCTCTTGGGAGAGGGCAGGAGAGAAACAGGCCCCATGCTGAGTAGGAATGGGGTGGATAAGCCAAAGAATGGGGATGGGGTCACGGCCAAGCAGCCTGAGACCAGCTACTGCTGGAAGCCCATCTCCCATAGGAGAGGGGCAGAGGGACCCCATGGGGGTCCCCAAAGTTGCATATTCATTATAATTTGCATATATGATGCCCATCTGCCTTTTGGCAGGGTTCTGTGCTTTGTGGGTACCTGCGGGGGCACCTTGGGCCCATCCCCAAGTGGGGTGGGGACTTGGCAGGAGGACTTCCCTGCTCTGTCTGAAGGGCAGGCCAGAGACCTCACCTTGCATAGCTGGAAGCTGGGTCAGTACTAGCCCAGTGCCCTAGTACCCCGCTCCTACTCCTGGGCAGTATCCCCTGCCAGGCAGGCCATGTTGGGCCTTGATAGGGTGGGCAGGGAACCGAGGGACCCAAAGGCCAGGAGGCAGCCGCTGCTGCTGCCCTCCATATGGCCTGGCATCTCACGCTCCTGGGGTGGGAGCTGGGCTCTGGCACCCGCAGCGGGCATCTCGCCCACCCAGGCTGCTCAATACTGCGTGTGGCCTCTCTCCCGGCAAGGGAGCGAGTTCAAGTAAGAGAAGAGTCCGGAGGCCTCAAGGGGCGGGTCCGAGCGCTAGGCCGAGGGCTGCTCCGCCCCTGAGAAGCCCCTCAGTCCATATTGGTGCTGACCGAACGGGAGATGCTAAGCGTCTGTGCGGAGACGGAAATGTCCTCGTGGTCCACGGGGCTGTGGTAGTCCGAGGTGATGTCGGGATCGAAAAGCGGTACTTGCACGGTGCCCAGGCTGGCCGAGGTGCCGGAGCGCAGGCAGCGCGAATAGAAGCCCAACAGCAGGTCCAGCTTGTGCTCGATGGACTGCACCTGGGGACGGGGCGCAGCTGGGAGGAGGGGTTCGGCTGGGACTCGGGGGCGGAGCACCGCTGGAAGGCGGGAGTTGGCCGGAAGGGGCGCGGCAGGAGGCGTGGCGGGCGTGGCTCAAGCGGCGGGTGGGGCCTGGGCGGGACTTATCTGGGAGACGCGAGCTGCGAGCCCCGTCTAGGGTGGAATTTGGGGGCAGGAGGAAGCTGGGAAGCTGGGGTGTGTTCCCGGAAGAAATTTAGCCGTAACTGGAACCGTCCATAAGACCGAGGAGACTGAGAGGGGAGTGGTTAAGAGAAGTAGGTGGGTTTGGGCGAGGCTACGGCGCCCCACAGGCAGGGCTCAGCAGGAGCTGACAGGCTTAGCCGGATGCTTTAGCAGGAGTGGGCGGGCTTTTTGAGGGGCGGGGCTTGTCTGTGGGGCGGAGCTTGGCCAAGTACTGGACGCACCGGCCCGGGTGGGGCCGTCTGGGCGGGTGTTCTGGGGTGTGGTTCAGAGAAACGCACTCTCCCCTCTTCTGGTTCCTGGGTCCCCCGCCCCCCCCACCGTGCTTCTAGACGACGATCAGCTTCTTGGCCCCTGTGACGGTCCATCCTACACTCACCTGCTTCTCCACCTTGACCACGCGTCCCATCATGCTGATTTCATCCACCACCTCCGCATCTGAGGGTCCCTTGTCGCCCTTCTCCCTGGCCTTCCGGTCCCCGGGTCCCCGACCCACAATCTGGTCCACCCTGTGAAGAAGAGGAACCATCAAAGGTCCTAGATACCTGCTGCTCCTCCCTTCCACAAGAATTCTAGGTTGCCTTTTGAATGGGAGGACACAGTCTTCACCTGTGGGAATGGCCACTGAGGAAGGAGGCCTTTGCACCGCCAAATGGAGGCTTGAGTTGAAGCAGGGAAACTAGCTTTTGCTTTGGGGTTCCCCAACTGACTGAGCAAAAGCACCAATACATAAACATGGCCAGTAAAACAACCGCTTTATAGAGGAGAGATGGGAAATAGTGGACTGGGAAAGGGAAAGAGGTAGATACCTGGGAACATGAGTTATAAGGCTAGAGCTGATCCCATCTTTTCTGCTCTCACAGTAAAATTTTTCTATGTCTCCCCCATGCCTTTGGGGCTGGGGTTGGAACCAGGGCTTCTCTAGCACTGAGCTATCCCCAGCCCTTTGTAAAGATATTTTAGTTTGAGGCCGAGTCTCACTAAGTTACCCAGGCTGGTCTCAAACTTGAGATCTTCCTGCCTCAACCTCCCAAGTAGCTGGGATTACAGGTGTGCCATGATCTTCCTTTCACTTTTAAACCTACTCCAGGGAGGCTTTTACCTCACCATTTCATCAAAACTACTGTTACGTTCCAAAATGAACTCCATGTTGCTAGATCCAATGATCAACTCTCAGTCCTCATTTCACTGGATACAGTTAATCACCCATTCTTCCTGCAAACATTTCTTTTTCCTGCAAACATTTCTTCAATTGGATTCTGAAACACCCTCTCCCAGTTCTACCCCTACCTCCCAGCTGGTATTGGTCTCTTTGTCTGAGTCCACCTCTATCTCCACAACCTCTAAACATTGCACGCAGCACAGCTTGCCTTTGAAGCCTCTTCTCTCAATTTACTCCCACTTGCTAGGTCGTATCTTCAAGTCCATAGTTTCAATTCCTCTATACCTTGTCAACACCAAATTTGTGTGTGTGTGTGTGTGTGTGTGTGTGTGTATGTATGTGTGTGTATATATATAGGGGTCAAACCCAGGGCCAAATCTATTTCCCCATCCAAACTTTTCCTACATACTCCACATCCCTACATCCACTGCCAGTGCAACACTCCCGTTTGAGGGCTGATGGGCATCACAAACTCAGCCAGTCCCAGTTCTCCTGATTGAAATTTTCTGTACTTGTTGTCTTCTCTGTGCCAATAAATGACAGTTTCCTTTTTCCTCTTGCTCAATCCAAAAACCTTGGCTTCATCCTTGATTCTCTTCTTTCTTTCACCCCACCATACCCCATAAGTAGGGTTTCTTTTCCTTTTTTTAACACTAATATGTATTAATTGTACAAATAAATAGGTTTCACTGTGATATTTCCATGCATGCATATCTCACATATTGATCATGTCCACCTTCCCTTCTACCCTCTGTCATTCTCCCCCAGTAGGATTTTCTGATAAAGTGTGAGAGAAAGAGCAGATCTACAATCTGACCACTTGTTCCAACTCCCCAGCTGCACCCTGGTCCCATAATCTCTGACCTGGATGTCTGAAGTAGGCACTTCCATCTGTTTCTACCCTTGCTATCTTATAGTCCATTGTCACCATCACACCCTTAGAGGGATCCTTTTAAAACATAACAGATCTTCCTTCTGTTTTTTTTTGTTTTTGTTTTTGTTTTTGTTTTGGTACAATGATTGAATCCAAGGGTGCTTAACCACTGAGCAACATCCCTAGCTGTTTGTTTGTTTTGAGACAGGGTCTCACTAAGTTGCTTAGGGTCTCACTAAGTTGCTAAGGCTTGCCTTGAACTTGTGATCATCCTGCCTCAACCTCCCAGGTCTGGGCTGGCAGGGTACTCACCTAGTCTGCAGGCTCTTGATCCGGCCCAGCATGTCCAGATGCCCTGCGGAGTACTGCTCAATGACATCCTTCACATCATAAGGTCGCAGTGTCTCCTTGAATTTCCTTTTGGCCACCAGGAACTTTAGAATCCTGTCAAGGGAGGAGGTCTCAGAGACCATCCTGTTCCAGTATGGGATTCTTTTCCAGCCCCCTCTCCATGTCTTTGTTACCCACTTATTGACCACCAGGGCAATTCCTTCTTGTGCTACCACTAGCAACTGGGTTCCCAGCCTCCCTTAACCACCTCTGCACTCCACAGGTTTCTTTGCTGTTTTTTTCATGTCCTATATTTGGATTAATCTGGGGTGGCAGGGACTGGGTCCAATGCCTTTGGCTAGGTAAAACACAGGGAGCATCTGTGAACATCGAATGTTGAGGATGACCATGTCAGAGAAGGAATATTGCATTCACCCCACAAATACTTGGCACAGCTTTGGGGGCCCTGGGTACTGGAGAGGACTCAGAGCTAACCCCTGGCCTAGGGAGCCCCTGGCTGGAATGAGAGACTGAAAGGACATAGGTAATTATGGGATGACAACAACCATGTTCAAAGAATGAAGAAAGAGAGCAGGGCCACAAGAAGGGAGGACCTCAGCTGGAGGTGCCCCGAGGAAGCAGAAGGGGATGAAGGGAGCTGTGGGAAGCAGAGGACATAGAGATGTGTAAGTGACACTCAGCTCTAAGTGGCAGGAACAAGGACATGATGGAAAGGGGCAGTCCAGGGGTTACAGGCCAGTGTGAGGAGATAGGGAGGAGATGAGCCATGAGAAGGGTGGGAAAGAGCCCTAAATCTCTGGCAGAGCATGGGTCCTGGGAGGGGTGGGTCATTCATTCTGCTTCGGTATGACTGCTGTGCTAACCCACATGAAGATGTGACCTGGAGGGCCAGAGTCAAGAGCAGGAAGATCAGCCTCAGGGAACAGGCTTGAGTTGGGAGAGGAGCAGTGGGGTAGAGTAATGGACAACTGTTAAGTGGTTCAGGAGATGGGACTGAAAGGCTTCTGAGTCTGAGTCCAGGATGACTCCCATGGCTGATGGTGGTGCCATTGCCCCCTGATAGGGACCCAGGAGGAGGAAGGGGTTTGGAGCAAGAGGTCTATAGGTGCAAGAGGTCTATAGGTGGCCAAGGAGATGACTTGGCACTCACAGCTCAAGCACTGTGTTCCAGATGGTGGTCACCTGAGGGGATAGACAGGATGTGTGGAAAGGGATTGAGGAGTGGCCTCACTCTGGAGAGAGAATCCAGCTCACTGATGTCAAAAAGAACACAAAGGGAAGAGGCTATGGGCAGGTGCATGAGCCAGGGAAGAGAGGAAGTGAGTCCAGAAGGCAAGGGGTTCAGAGGTCTCTGGAGCTAGAACTGAGCTAGAAATGAAGACTGAGCCAGAATTCCTTGCCAACGAGTTGGGGCCAAATCTGCGACTGGGCCATGGCTACAGGTCCCCACTTAACTCCTGAGGCAGGGAAATAGCCAGTGGAGCAGGGGCTTTCAAAATTTTTGACCAAGACCTACCATGTTACAGCACAAACTAGTACACATGCACACATGGGCACTCATGCATACACACACAGATAACTGAAATATAAATTTCATAAACATTATTTGCCCTTAATAAGAGAAATGCATTCTCATGTGTTTTTAAATGTTGACCAAGGCCCACTAACTTGGTTTCCCTAAGTTGATTTCAAACCGCCTTGACCTGTGGTTTGAAAAGCATTGATCTAAAGAAGTCCTAGGGGAAACAGGCAGGCCAAGACACTCAGGGAGAGAGTCTGAGACATCAGGACAAAAGGAGGCTGAGAATGAGAGAGATGCAGGGAAAGGGTGCATAGACAAACCCCAGGAGAAACAGGTAGGCATGGATACAGCTGGGGAAAGAGAAGTGAAGAAGCTGGCACAAAGTGGGAGACAGAGAAGGGAGAGAAGCAGAGAGGCAGAGCAGAAGAGACTGGGAGGGTACTGCATGTGTGAGGACAGGGACCATGATGGGCAGCTGCGCCACTGGAGCCTGGCCCTCTGGGCATGATATGTAAGAGCAAACCCTGCAGGGAGCCATATGCCACCTCCCCACCTTGCCCGTTCTCCATCCGGGCAGCTTCTGGCACACTGGGAGCTAGGCCAGGCATGGCCATGAGAGCGGGCCCAGATGGGGAGCAGCAGTGGGTGGCAGATGGGAGAGGGTGCTCACCTCAGGCTTCAGTCTCACCTGACGGAGCGGATGACCGTCTTCACAGCTGGCATGACGTCGTCCACTGTGAGCTCGCACTGGTAGCTCTTCTCCTCTGCTACTTCCTCTGAGGGGCCCTCTGAAAAGACAGGGGCACCCATGTGTTTCAAGGGTCAGCAGCAGAAAACGCCACTCCAACCCCCACCTCCATGGAGGTACTGATAAGAAGACAGGACCAGAAAGGGACCAGAATCTTCTTGGGGCACAAGACAGACCAGGCTCCTGCCTCCCTTGCTTCTGCCCTTCACAACCCTACCCAGCATGGAAAAACCCAGTGTGCTACATGCCCATCTGTCCCTGTAGTCAGACAAAGCAAACATCTGCCAGATGTCAGATGATTGACAGCTGCTTGAGGGCACATCTGGTCTGACTTGGGGCAAATGTGATAAACATAGCCCTGGAGGAAGTCCCACTGGCCCCACCATGCAGGACAGAGAGCCCTGGAGAGAAGGCACCTGATACTCTGCACATAATCATGCACCATCTTATCCTCCAGCTAAGGGGGATGGAGGCGCAGGGAGGGCTCCTCTGGCCAGCTGTGGGAAGCAAGGCCCTTAAAACCAGGATGAGAGGAACAGCTCCTCTGGGGCTGGCACTCTGCCCTGCAAGAAAGGCGATACTCTCCTCACCCACCAAGAGAAAGGGGCATGAGCAGGCAGTAAAGGAGGTCCCTGGCACCAGCCTTGCCCAGGTTTCTATGGACCAGCACCTCCCAAAGACTGGTTTGTGTCTTCTGTAACTTTCCAGGAAAAGGCTGAGTTGTCAGCCAGCAACATCTTGATGCAGCACAGGCAGAGGTAGCATGGCTACCCCCTCCTTCCAAGGACAAAGTGCCTCCTGTCCTCATCCACCATCCTTGTCCACTCACACCCCATTTCCCCTTCTGAGGCCCGCCCTGCAGCATGTTCTGCAGCTGGGAAGAGTCTTCCAGGGGACCCAGTCCAACACTTCCATTTTCCAGAAGAGGACACTGAGGCACAGAACTGGCTAAGTCACAGTGTGAGTTACAGGGAGAACTAGAACTCAAAGCAGTCCCCCTCCAACAGTTGAAAAGTGACCCCCACACACAGACACCAGTCTCATGTGTGCAAGTTGCACTGGAGGGCAGAGAACCTGGGCTTTGGAACTGGACAGGCCTGTGGGAGGACAGGAGCTCTGCCACTCATGAGCTGAGAATCTCAATTTCCACGTCTATAAAGTGGGAATGAAAATGGAGTCATGGGAGAAGCAAATGAGATAATCCCATCAGGGCTCATGAAATGTGGGTTTCTGCTCTTTCCAAGGTACATTCATTGTCATCTAGCTGTTTTTTGTTTTTGTTTTTATTTTTGTTTTTTTGGTACTAGGGATCAACCCCAAGGGTGCTTAACAACTGAGCCACATCCCCAGCCCTTTTATACATTTTATTTAAAGACTGGGTCTCACTGAGTTGCTTAGGGCCTTGCTAAGTTGCTGAAGCTGGCTTTGAACTTATGATCCTCCTACCTCAGCCTTCTGATCCACTGGAATTACAGTTGTGTGCCACAGCACCCAGGGTCATCTAGCTTTAACTGAGCACTTACTATATTCCAAAACCTCTTTTGTTCACCTTCCATAGATTATCTCAATCTTCACAACAGCCCTTGAAGCAGATACTATTATTGTCCCCATTTTATAGGTGAGGGAAGTGGAGTAGGGCCCAAAGAAATTAGGTCACTTGCAGAAGTGACAGAGCCAGAATTCAGATCCAAGCAGCCTAGCTCCAAAGCCTGCACCCTCAACCACTACCAAATGCCACCGTCTACATTCCCATTTGATCTCTAATAATCTGGTGCCCAGGCTACAGCAAAGCAAGTGTTATGATGCCCATCTTATACACTAGAAAACCAGAGTCCATCCCCACCCCTGCAACCTTCGGCAGGTCCTGGACCCCAAACCTCTAGGAGCTCACCCTCAGCAGAGGTGCGGGGTTTGAGTCTCAGAGAGGCCCGGAAACGTGTGCGGTCATTGAAGCTCCAGCTCTTCTGCACTTTGGTGGGGCTGGTGGCCTCACCCACCTGCTCGCTGCTTGGGGAGGTGGGCATTGGTGGAGGTGCCAGGTGCTGCTTGGAAGGACCAGTCCGCCGCTGGGAGCTGCCCATGCGGATGCGGTCTTTGATGCCCATCCGGCTGCTAGCAGAGCAGGGCAGGTTGGGGAGAGAGCCAAGTTAGCTGGTGCTGGGGCAGGAGGTGAGTGGGGACAATGCTGATCTAGGACTTGGGGGCGACTATTGGGTCTGGATTCCCCACCAAACAGACTTTCTAGGATGGAACAACGGTGTGGTGAGGGGGGCCCTGACTCCAACAAGAAGCTAAAGGGTGGTCATTTGGAGCATATCCCATCCCCAGTCCCACCTTCCACCCCTCTTTGCCCAGACAGATAAGGGTGCACAGGAGACAGATGTCAGAGTGAAAGGACTGAGAGAAACCCAAGAAGGAATCAGACAAGACAGGAGACGAAGGATCTGGGCCTGGCCCACGGGGGTGGTTGGAGGGTGGAGGTAGTGACCCTGTTGGGCACAGACAGGCTGCTGAGGGATGGGGAAGCTCACCTGGCCATGCATACTGAGGTAGGCCTCCAGTCCTCACTGTACCAGGGAAAGGCTGGGTGGAGTCAAGGAGGCATGTGTGTGCACATGTGACAGTGTGGGTACAGAGGTAGCAGAGTGTATACACATGGTGTGTGTGGACATGTGTCAGTTTGTATTTTCTCCTTTCCCCACTGCTGGAGCTATCTGATCCGGCATGGGTCAGGTCAGGGTTTTAGGACCTGATCTAGCTATGCAGATGGGCTCTGCAAAATAAGGTCTCCATCACACGGGCTTCTGTGTGATGTGCCAGTGGATGGTGCAGTGTGATGTCCATTGAGGGCCTAAGCCTCATGAGTCTGGGTGCTATATGCCTAGGATGTGCCTGGTACCCGCCCTCCCAGTGAAGATCTATTTCAATAACCTGTTCTGTGGTCTCCCTTGCCTGAGCTCTGCTCACCTGGACCTATGTCCTGACCATGGGGTCCTGGATCTCCCTAGAAGATTCCTCCTTCACTGCTACTCAGCTCCCAGTTAAGCTTACACTGTCTGTGTGCACATGAACACACACATGCAGATCTGGACACACGCTCTAGGCTCCCCTTACTATACCCAGCCCCTCACCACATCCCCCAAACCTTGGAGGGAGACAGGCGGGGTGGGGGGAGGCCAAGGGTTTACCATCACCATGAAAGGCCCTGATTAACCAGTACTTGGTAGAGTAACTCTAAGTCCAAGAGGTTCAAGGACCACATTATTGCTGTTTGGGTCAGACCTATGCCAATATCCTCCATCCTATGCCCTGTGGCATCATAGCTGCCTCGCCTGCTGCCATGTGCCACTGGAGGATCCCTGCAGACAGCTTTGGGGCCCCCATTGCCTTGGGCACCAGCTCAGAGGGGCACCAGCCAGTCTCAAAGGAGGCCTGAGGTGGGGCAGGGTTGAGGAAGGAGACTGTCACCTACTCTCAGGGACTTTCAGATCAACAGTTAAGCAAAGGACAGATTCTGGTTTCGATGTTGGGTGGGTACCCAGGTCCCCCATGCCCAGGGCATGGGGTGAAAGGTATAGAACCCAGTTGCTGAGGTAAGAGATCTCGAAACCAGGGGCACCTTCGGGAAGGTGGCCGGGATGTAGGGCCATCCTTAGGGGAGGGGCCTCTGCCCAGAGGGAAGAGGTTAAAGGTCAGGTATTGGAGCCCTTAGGGTATCAGAAGGGAAGGTCAGGCCCCAGGGTCCCCTCGACACATCCCAAGATTCCAGACACATCCCAAAGATTCCAACCGAAGTTTGAGGTTGGCTTTCCCAAACTTTCCCCTGCAGAGCCATTCCTGCGGGCTCTCCTCATGCTGGCAAGCACCCCACCACCCTGCCCATCCGTGCAACCCCTGCCCCTGTCCTCCACTCCTCTAAGCTGGAGAGGAAGAGAGAAGGCTGGAGAAGGCCCTGAGCTCCAGTCAAGGGCCTGGAACTCTGGATCGCTGCACCCAGCACATCAGGCACCAATGGCGTTCTGGGGAAGGGAGGGGTGACCTCCCTATCTCAAGAAGTGTGCAAAAAAGCTGAGTGTGCACTCCACAGAACTTTTGGAGGAAGGAGTCTGAGGCTTGCACTAGAGGCCTTGAAAGGTCCCTTTCCAGCTCTGATTCTGTGACGGTGGAGGGAGCTTCCAGCGGGGTTTGTGGGGGTTCTGTAACTTTCCAGCCATCTGAGGCCCTGGGCTCCTCTTTAATGCAAGAAGACAGTTTTACCAGGAGCAGCCCTGGATTCCTGCTCCTTGGGTAGGGCCCAGAAAACAGCCCACGTCAGCCTCTCTGGAGCCTGAAAGCTCAAAGAAAATGGAAAGAAACCTGGCACACAGTGGGCACCAAAGAGCTCCTTCCCTCCCAGTCTCCTCGGAGCACGCAGTGTCCCACCTGCCTGCCTCGGTGCTTTCAGTCCTCTCCGCCACGTCACGCAGTGGCTCTGGTTCTCCATCCCTATTTTACCGATAAGGAAAGAAGTGAAACAACTTGCCCGAGGTCACAGAGCTCCCCTGGGATGGGGCAAGTCCTAGGCCATTTTCTCTGCCTCAGACATTGTGTTCTTTTTCCAGGACAAGTGCTCGGGGTGAGGGCGAGGGCAGTGGTTCTCAACTGGGGCAATTTCACCCCCCAAGGCACATTTGGCAATGTCTGGAGATATCTGGGGTTGTCACAGCATTGGTGTTCCTGGCATCCAATGGGTAGAAGCTGGAAATGCTGCTAAGCATCCTACAAAGCATGTGTTAGCCCCAAGCAAAAGATCTGTCCAATTCAAAATGTTGAAGGTGCCAAAGTGAACAACTGAGGTCTAAGGGGTCTGTTGGTGCCTAGGAGAAGGATGGGGTCAGCTTGACTGTGGCTGTCCTCAGGAAGTGCCAGTGCTGCCACCAACTGCCCTCTGACTGCCCTGCTGGACTCAGACCCACTTGAACCAGGAATTTCTTTAGGATTCATCCTCTGCCTGCCAAAGGCAGCCTCCCCACTGTCTGACTGCACACGGCCCCTCTGCTTCAGTCCCCTCCTCAGGGACTAGGCAAACAGTCTCATAGCTGGCCTCTCTGTCCCACTCTTGCCCCTCTGTCCATCCTGCCCACTCAGCCAATCTTGCAATGGGTCAGATCTGACCTGGAGTCTCTTCAGCTTCACCCTTCAGTGTGTCCCCATTTCCTACAGTCATGGTTCCCAAACTGTTTTTTAAAGTGAGATCTTAACTGCCAAATGTACCAAATTGAATAAGGTCAATTTTGTAGGCGCCAAGCAGTTTGGTCCCGGCTATACTGCATTTATGATCTGCGTCTCAGGCTGGAGTTGGAGCTCAGGGCTAAAGTGCTCCTGGGTTCAATGCCCAGATCAAATAAAACAAAACAAAAAACAATCTGCATTTCATATCTGAGGAAACAGAGGCACAGACAGCTACGTGACTTGCCCACAGACACACGGCCAGTGAGTGCAGACCAGACTGTGATGGAGAATCCACATCTCTCAGAAATGCTGCTTTTATACAGAAGCACATGACAGCCAGGGGCTCTGCTCCTCATCTGCTACCACAAGACTCCAGAGGCACCTTAGGGAAACCAGAGATCCACGAACTCAAGTGTCAGGCAATGCCAACAAGATGAAGCCGCACTGGGGCTTAACCTCAGCCCTGACATCCCACTCTCAGAACTGACCAAACCGGGCTATGCACTTGTTTCCCATGGCTGTGCTCTTTTGCCAACTTGCCTGGTCCATGTCCCCGCTAACAGCCACCCCTTCCAGGGCTTCCTCTGGGTTAAGCGCCCAACTCAGGCTTCACAGCCCCTCTGCTTCCTCCTCTTATTGCGCTCACTGCACCAAACTGCAGTTACTCTTTGCAACTCTCCAGGGACCATGTTTTATTCATCACTGTGTCCCCAGGGCACACAGCAAGTCCTGGCATGGCAGGTACCATGAATGCAGTGGTGATGCAGCTACATTGGTGATCTGGAGTTAGGGAGGTGCCAGGCCTATCCCCTTCAGCCATCTGCCGAGTTCCAGGCAGACAGTGGGGAGACAAGAAGCTAAACCCAAGGCCCAGCAAAAGTCAGAGTGGGAAAGACCCTCAGAGAGCCTCTAGTTCAATCTGCCCATTCCACATAGGGAAAACTGAGGTCCAAAGAAGGGAAGCAATTTGACCAAAATCACACAGGGGTCAGCGGCAGAGCCAGCGCACATCCCCAAGGCTCCTGCAAGTGTCCCTTCCAGCACACTGGGCCCATGCCCCAGACCTGGCAGAGGCATCCCCAGGAAGGCAAGGGGCTCATCAGGACCCAGAGGCAGATGGCAGGCGGCAGGCACATGCACCTTGTTCATGGCCTGTCCTGTCCCCCTCTCCAACCCCCAAAGATGGGGGGATGAGGAAGAGTGGGGGCAGGAGGAGCAGGCGAGGGGGTACCTCGGTCTCCAGCTGGCGTGGATCCGAAAGAAACTCCGTTTATTACTAAACATCTGGCTGGAAAGTTGAGAACAAGACACGAACAGAGGTTAGTGACAAAGGGACAGGTGGGCAGAGCGTGGGGAGTTGCCAGGATGGGGCTGGTTTCCGGTGGCTGGTGGGAAAAGGACCCCCACCCAAGTCATCCTCCAGCTCCATCCCCAGGATGCAGAAGTTCTCAGTCTGCACAAGGACCCCCTGGGAGCATTGTGAACACGCAGAATCCTGGGCCTCCTCTCCAATCCAACTCCGCAGGTGTGGAGAGAGGGCCAGGCATTTGCATTTCGGACAAACACCCCATGAGATGCTGATGCAGGAAGTCGGAGACCACACTTTGAGCAACTCAACACAAAATCCTAAAAGGAAATGCCATCCCCTGGCCATCCCCCAAGAAGTCCTGCTTCTTGGAGCTCTACTTCCTGGGAACATGCTTAGTTTGGATCCATCCCCAAGCATCCCTGGGGATGTAGCCAACCAGGTGTGTGTATGCGTAGGTACATATCTGGGGCATCCCAGCTGCAATACCTACCCCATTAGACCTAGACAGCCAAGGTTAAGGACAAGACCATTTAGCCTGAGCCTGGGGACTGACCTAGAAGACACAGCTTGGCTCTCTAGGGTCTCTTGGAAGAAGTGACACTCTACCACCATCACCATGAGTTCCAGACACACAGACACTCCAGGACAGACAGACATAGGCTGGGAGTTAGTGATAGCCAAGCCCTCAGCAGTGATCTGTTCCTGGGCTTCAGTGAGTTCAGGGTCCCATAGAAGCCATTGGGAGTGCTATAGGTGCCAGGCTCCAGGATCCCCTCCATTCTCATGCCTTCCTATTCAGGCAAGGTGAGACCAGAGTGCCCTAGAAGCTGCAGAGAGCCCATGCTCTTGGCATGATTGTTGGAATGCCAAAACTTTTGAGTTTCTGCCTGTGAATCGCAGTTTGGTAGGGATGGGGATAAGGATGAAGGGCCTTCAGGCAGTGCTGGGGAATCCAAGTGGTCCTATATCATGAACATTTCTTCCAGGGAGCTCCCAGCCTGGCCTGGCCAGACATGCTTCCCTTCCCCTCCCTCCAGTTCCAAACCTGGAGGGGTGCTCTCTCTCTCCCCACTTCCTGTTCAGCCCCTAGCCCAGAAGTGCCCTAAAAACAGGGAGGGGATGCTACCCACTGCACACCACGACCCCCAGCCCAAAACACTCCATCACTCTATCCTCCAGGAGAAACTCAGAGAACCCAGAGCTCCTAGTCAGCCTAAACATCACTGATTTTCTGCCAGGAACAGAGTGATTTAATGACTTTCTCAAGGACACACAGATCAGGTGGCAGAGGCAAGCTTCCATGGCACCTCTTCCCTGGTCCCTTGTTCTGGGCCTGGGGCTCAGAATTACAGCTAAGGCTCAAAGCCCAGATGCCTATCTGGTTGGTTCAGTGATGATGTGTGAAGATGAGGCAAAACAAAGAGATGGGTAAAGGGCAGGGGAAGGTTTGAAGGGGACTGAACCCTCGACCTCAAAGCTAAATCTACAGAGGCAGCTGCTTGTCCCCATGCTGTGAGTGAATGGGCTGCCCTTATCCAAACATGTTGGAGCTCCCCCACTTATGAACACATGTCAGGGAAGGCCAAGCATCGTTCTTTCTTGGTTCTTCTTTCAAAATGCAAAAGCTCCAGGAGGGACAGGTCAAGGGGAAAGATACCATTGTGAGTGGCAAAGAGTACCTCAGTAAGGAAGAAAAGAGAATCCCAGGAGCACCCGCTGGGATTAGCAAAGCTGTGGACAAGGGTTGCATGAGACAAGAGCATTAGTTGCTGGCTGGGTTTACGTAGGTCCTACAGCGGTCTTAGTCACAGAGCTCTCTTTCCAGCTGGCATCTGGTTCCCGAGAGGCGACTGCAGGGTCAAGCCCCTCCTAGAGCAACATGCTGGGGAGGGGGTTCCCTGCCCTCACAACCCAGAGTGGTGCCCACGATTACCTGAGCCGTAAGCACCTGTGGCCAGCGGCCTCCTCCTCTCTCCAGCTTCCCGGGAGGGATGGGGGTGCAGGGATGGAAGAGTGAGGGGAACGTGGAACAGAGAAAGAAAGAGGACAATGGCATGAATGGGGGAGGTGACAGGGTAGGATGGTGTGGACATCTCTCCCAGTCAGACTCTCGGAGTCCCAGGAAACGAAAAGGTGAGTCCAGCCTGGCCTCTCCAGAGAGGCCCTCAGTCTGTACCTGTCTGGCCATCCGACGACAACTGCCCAGGCCTCATGAAGAGGCCCAGGAGGCCCCCAAACAGGCCCAGACACCGACAGAGTAGCTGGAGGCAGGTCTGAGGGAGGATAAGACAGAGAATGGAAGAAGAGGAGGAGAAGCAAGAGGAGGTGGTGACCCCAGGGGGCCCCTACCTTTCCCCAGGGCAGAAGGAGGCGCTGCCCGGCCGGTGGCAGGTGGCAACGGGCGGGTAGCGGGAGGGCGCTCCATCAGGTACTGGCGCCCGCCGCACCTCCAAGGGCCGTAGGCCCCCATTGCGGGCCCGTTGCACGTGCTCAAACAAGAGGGCCAGCTCTCTGCAGGAGAGGGCACCATCAGCCACAAGCAGGGCCCTGGCACCACCCCCCTCACCTAGTGGGCTCTGAGCTCCTGAGCTCACCCGCCAGGTCCTGCTCTATAGGGATGCTCACAAACACCCAAGCCAGGCCAGGCCAGACAGGAGTGGAAGATGGAAGACAACGGCTCTCTTCCTCCCTTTCTACACTCAGTTCCTGGAAAATCCTCAGGGACACCAGGTTTGGTTGTGCAGACTGGGCACAACTCAAGAGCACCCGCACAAGGTGGCAAATAGGAGCTCAAATTCAGCTGACTCTCTGCTCATCGAGGCACAGTGGCACTGTGCCTGCTGGAAGGCCAGCAGCAGCCCTGAAATTCATACCCTCCCGATCTGACTATGGATTTTAGGGAAGACAGACCAAGGATGGAGATTTCACAGGGCAGCTGGCCCAGCTACCCTCTATTGTGGCACTCACGCTTGCTGCTGGGTTCCTGGAGACTGAATTTGGGCCTGGAGCTGCCCCCTGACTCTCTAGGCCACTTCCTACCATAAGCCAAAAAAAGTAAAATGCCCCTCTCCACTGTCCCCTGCCTTCCCACCAAAGGGATGAGAAAGTTGAGGCCCAGGGAGCAGCAGAAGGTCCGATAGACCCCAAATCTCCAAACCAGGCTCTGTCCCTCTAACCAAGGGACCCAGACCACCCCACTCCATTTCCCTGCCTCCCTCACACCACTTTCTACCTATCCAGCCCCTGCTCCAACTCCCCACCTCGCCCTGGTCAATAGGGCTGCTCCTGAAAAGGAGGCTTCGTCTAACCTAGCTGCCATCTCTGTCTCCGAGGTGGGAGCTTGCCTCTGCCAGGAAGGGAGATGGGGGTGGGAAGTGTGATGCCCCCTTCTGGGCCCCCCCTTCTGCCCCTCCCGGGAAGCCCACAGGGCTGGGAGGGAGCTGGAACAGGCCAGGTGAGGGCAAGTGGGATCACGCAACAGCTGCTCTTGGAGAACTAATGAGGCAAAAAAGGTGCGCAGAAGCGCTGAGCGCAGCAACCTGGCCCAGCCTCGCACTCCATGCCCGCCCGCGTGTGGGAGCGTGCCAGATCCGCGGTCTTCATTCCTGCCCCAGGGCTGGCCAGGCACCTGGCCACATGCACCTTGGTGATGCTATTAATAATCCTTTGAATGGAGCCACCCCCGTGCAGCCTAGGCTCAGCCAGGGCCAGTGGGAAGACTCTCTTCTGGGTGCTGAGGCCCAGTAGAGTCCAGTCACATATGGGGGCTCAGTGCAGGCCCTGGCACAGTTCCTGACCATTCCGCACTCTCTTCAACCAGCTACAATACTCCAGGCTGGTAAGTGCCACCAGTGTCCCCCACTCGAGACTGAAGGGAAATGAGCTGGCTGTGTCACTGGCTTCAGTGGCCTCACCAATGGGTGAGTATTCTGACTGTCAGCGCTCCATGAGCTGGGCTCAGCCTGTGGGGCAGAGCTGCACCAAGGCCCTGTGTCCTGTGTGCTTCTCAGAGAGAGGATCTTCCAAGCTCTAAGTAAGGTAGAACCTACAGAGCCAGCCCAAAATGCTCCCATGGTCCCCACATTCCAGGGATAAATCCCAGCCCTTGGTGCTCCCTGGGTATTACTGCCAGCCCCCCACCCACTCCCACCCCCAGAAGGACCTACCTGAAGGATGGGAGGATACTGTCATAGTAGTACCAGGTGGCCGTCAGGTAGGCCCTGCTAGTGTCGGTGGAGTACAAGCGCCATGCAGCCTGGGGATATGTGGAAGAAATGGGGCATCAGTGAGGTCTCTCAGCCCCCACCAGCCCTCTGCCCCTGAAGGAACCTAGTCCTTAGCCAGCCAAGGGTAGGCAAAGCCAGAGGCCAGTCCCAACTCTATAGCCACCAGCAAGGCCAACCTAGAAATTGAGGCCTAGAGAGAAACGACTTGCCCATGATGTCCCAGAAGATCCACATGAGTCAAGGACCCTGGAGCAAAGGGGTAAGACCAGGGGTTTTATCATCAGGCAGATGTGGGTTTCCAATCTCAGTTCTACCCCTTTCAAGTGTTGACAAACTAAATGAAGTTCCAGAACCTCAGTATTCTCCCCTGTAGAGCGAATCAGCTACTACTTACCTAACAGCATGCTGTGAGCATGTTTGTCTATCCAATGCAAAGCTCAGTGGTGACACATAGTAAGCACTTAATGCCAGGTCCCCCTGTTAAACCTTCCTGTTAACTCCCTTCTTCACATCTGATAAATATCTATGTATTGTGTGTTCAATTAATGGCACCGATCTCAGAGCCAAGTAGAGTATCTGGCACTTGTAGGTGTCCCACAAATGTTTGGAGAATGAATGCTGACTGCTAACAGCAACTCCGCTCTATCTTTCCTAGCTGCCTGTCTCTAGGAACTGAGAAAGGGGTTGCTGAGGAATGCTGAGGGGTTGGTTGGAAGAAAGAGCATCACCCACCGGCCCCTCAGCTTCCATGGACTTGCAGGACTTCCTTCATAGCAGGAGGAAAGAAGGTCGGACAAGAGGAAGGCTTTGAGATATGGAGAAGAGCCAAGGAGAGACTGAGTGGGATGATCAGCCAAGGCAGGAAGACATGGAAGCTGCTAGACAGGACAAGGCAGAATTGGGCCCTGTATACCCCCCTTCTCTGGGTGCCTCTTGTCCTTATGGGGTTGCCACTGTTGACCTCACCGGCCAGGCGCCTTCCAAAGACAGAAATATTTTTACTTCCTGCTTGCCTAGGCCCCTGGCATGGGCTGGAGAGCAGCTGCCAGAGCTGTCTCATTAATTATGGGCACTATAATACCAGCTGTCTCTCGGCACGAACAGTGCCAGCCGCCTGCCCCTACAATGCCCCTCAGAAGGCCAGCTCCCAAGGGACAGTGGCCATTGTGCCCTGAGGGACACTATAAAGAAAAGCCTGGGCTGGTGGCTGGAGATAGCGGGGATGGGGAGAGGGGGTTTCACCTGGGTAAAAGAGATAAGGAGGGGCTGAGTCAGACTTGGGTTTGGGGGTCAGAGGGTAACGTGGGGGGAGCATGCATAGGTGGGCTGCGTCAGTATTCCCCAAACCATTTCCTGCACAGAGTTCTCCTGCACACACTTCTGACTGGAGAGAAGCCAATGCCTAATCACACGGTCACAGAAAATAAAGCCCTGGCCTCATCCCACAGCCACTCAGATCACCCATCACTGAGGACAACGAAGACCACATGCTCCTGGCTTCCCACCCACTCCTCTGGCTGCTCCTCCTCTGTCTCCTTGGCAGGCTCCTTTTCTGCCTGGCCACTAAATATTGGAGCTCTCAAAAGCCTAGACTTGAACCAAAACCTCTTCATTCGTGTGGCTTCTTGTGGAATGCCTGAATGAATGAGCCCAGAGTGCTGCCGCTGTTGACTGCGCAGTGGAAGGGCAACAGAGCTGGGTCTTCACAGGAGCCTATCCAGACCCCATCTACCCAGGCGGCACAGAGCTGAGGCCAGAGTTGGCAATGGCGCAACTCTAGTGAGCACCAAACTGGGCATTTGGTGCCGGGGAAAGTTTATGAATCTGTCAACATCCCAGCTCTGTCTATGCCTTGCCATGTGACCCTAGAAAAGCCACATCCCTCTCTGAGCTTCAAAGTGGAGTTGTAGTTGTGAGGCTGGGCCACATGGATTGGCACACAGGGGCCAACACACCAAGTGGGTGCGTCATAGGGCCTGTGCCACAGGGCCTCCTGGGTGTCATTTACCTGAATGAGGTTGGCTGCTGGCATCCTCCGCTTCTCGAAATGCTTCTGCCGGTGCTGTTCCTGGACCTTCAGGGCAAAGCCGGAGCCGAGAATGCCCTAAGGAGATAAAGGAGGGTTGGGGGAATGTGGGGAGGGGAGATAACCAGGGTATCCCTACCCCTGCCCATCTGACTAGGCGTTGGCTTCTCTCCAGTCAGTACCCGAGGCTGCCTGGGCAAATCTGTGATTTGGACTGAGAAAGTCTTGCCCTCATCCTCCCCCACCAACACAGCAGAACAGAACTCACGGCAGGCAGGGCAAAGAAAGAGATGCCCAGTAAGGCGAAGCCAGCAGCCAAGACCCTGCCCAGCCATGTATGTGGTGTCTTGTCTCCATAGCCAATGGTTGTCAGTGTAATCTGGAGATACAAATGGTTATCCACGAGACGGATCACAGATGCCATCCACAAGAAGTTGTTGGGGGCACAGACAGGTGGGAGACTGGTCACAAGGAAAGGGTTCTCTTCCCCCATCCCCAGATATTTTCTATAGGGGTTGTTGACAAGGACTTTTCAAGGGGGCAGTAGGGGCATACCTAATTCCTCTCCAGTGCTGGACACAAAGGCTCGGGGACGGGCAGGGGGCTAATGGGAACATAGGGCAATCCACCAGAGTAGGTTGGGGGACAGAGTGGCATAGGGGCTGGTCAAAGGGGGTCCCAGCTCTAGTTCTAGAAGGTGGCAAAGGGCCTGGTCAACCCTCAGGGGCAGAATGGACAGGTCTCAGGAAGTTTCTGGGGAGAGTCCCAAGGAGAAGAGCAGCCCTGCCCAGACCCTTACTCACCGTCCCCCACCAGAGCGAGTCGGCATAGGAGGAGAAGTCAGAGTTGGCATCCTTCTCTGCCAGATAGACGAGGAAGGAGGCAAAGATGAGCACCAGGAACCCGATGTACCAGGCGGTGATCAGCTCCTGCCAGGCAGGTGAAGGGACATGAGGAGCTGTGCCTACCAGAGGGGCAGGGGGGTTCCCTATGGCCTATGGACCATGTTCTGAAAGGGGATAAAAGTACCCAATCTCACCAACCCCTGTCAGTGGCTCTTCTCCATTTCCTTTCTCAGCTCTTTACTTCAAGGAAACCCTGCCTCACCTGGAAACCACCAGGACCCCAGGCCTGCTCTTGACCTGCTCGGTTCCAGGCTCTCACCTCCACCCCAGACCCCTTTGCTTTGCCCCCCAACACTACTTTCAGGCTTGAGGACCTACATTCTAGTCCCTTCCCAGCCCCACCCTCAGGCCCCATCCCAGCTCTCCAAGTGGCAGTGAGAACTGTCCCTTCAAACTCAGAAGCTTTCAAGTGACACCCTCAAACCTGGCTTCAGGCCCTGACTCCTAGGCCCCACTTGCCCCACCCTGTAGGCCCTGCCTCTAGCTTAGGTCCTGTCTCCAGCCCCGCCCTGCTGGGGGCTTCCAATCTCCATGCCCACCCTGTCCATAGTCTCCCTTTCCCCAGCCCCGGGCTCCGCTCAGGGCCGTCCCTCTGCCTCAACTCAGCCTTGCCCTCCGGCTTGCCCAGCCTCACCTTGCTGTGTGCGTAGACCACGGAGCCCAGCAGCTTCCAGGTGCCACCGCGTCGGTCCATGCGCACCATGCGCAGGATCTGCAGGAAGCGCATGCTGCGCAACGCAGACGTGGCAAAGATGTTGCCCTGTGTGCCCGCGGCGATGACGGCCACCGAGGCCACGAAAACGATGAAGTCTGCGGGGCAGGGGGTGGCAAGGTCACCAGTAGGGCTGCAACAGGACCCAGGGTCTCCTGGGGCTGTAGGAGGTGGCAGATTGGGGTGGTCTGCCTAGTCAGTGTCAGGAACCAGGGCCAGGGTTAGGGACGGGGTCAAGGAGTCAACCCTGGGGCCTGGGGTCGGGAGTCAGGCGAATTGAGGAAAGCCTTATACCGATGACACAGAAGGGTTTTCTGGCAAAACGGAGGCGGCCCTGCCATCCTCGATAGCGGCAGCAGCAGCCTGCCGACCAGACGCGGATGATGTACTCCAGGCCGAAGACCACGATCATCACGAACTCCTGCGGGATCAGGGCCTCAGTTCTGCTGCCCATTCTCCAGGTCAGAGACTGGCCCAGCCTGAGTCCTGCATTAGGAGCGCCAGCACCCTCTACCAGACCCCTCCACCCGACCCCTCCACCTGACCCCTCTCCGTTCTTACATGGGCTAGGACTTAAGGGGATTCCAGAAAGGAAGTGACCACTTCTACTTTCTCTAAGAAAACTGAAAGTCGGAGCCTGTCCTCCCCTTTCTGCCACCAGAAGCTGCGGGATTTTTCTATCCCTCAGTCTTGCTTCCCCTCCCAAACATCCCAGAATCCTTAGCTCTACCTGGCTGAAATAAAGGGGCTATCCATTAGCTGTCTCCCCGCAAGGGGTGTTAGTTTGGTGCCTTTTGTTTAGGCAGAGGTGGAGTTACCGACTTGTCCTGATAAGGGTGGAGCCTACTCATCCTGTCACTATTGGGCCCATCATAAGGCCTCCATAGAAGCAGGAGGTCCTCCTACACCAGCTAAATGGAGGATGATACCCAGAGAGGGATAGTCACCAACTAAGGGAACTCAGCACAGGAATCTGCTCTCCAACTCAAAGTCTAGAAGCCTCTCCCCACCTCAGCTCTCAGCCCACAGCCTCCCTCGGACAGGGACTCCCAGCACTTACCAAGATGAGGAGACACTCATTGGCAAATTCCTGGTGCTCCTGAATAGTGGACAGCACGGACAGCACCAGGCAGCTGAAGACCAGCAAGAATCTGCAATTGCAGCATGAAGGGAAGGGTTAGATAGCTGGGAGGTCAGGACAGCAGAAGAGCTTCTGGTAGAAGGCTGCAGAATCATGGGAGGAGGGAAGCATTGGTGGGCTCTGTGCTGGGCACCAAAGGCAGCAGCCCCTAAGCTCCAAGCCACCAAGCTCACAGACACCTCATGATTCTCTCAACTGCACCCAGTATACCTGTGTCACCAAGAGATGGTCACTCAGCTGAGTGGCAGTGTTGTCTAAATTGGCAGTGGAAACACATAGGCTCCCGTGTTCCTCCAGGCTCATTGATCCACAAGCCGTGGATTGGATTGGTTTTAAGGTTGTCTTGAGAGAAATGTCCCAGAGGTCATCCAGGGTCTCAGGGAAGGTCAGCACTGAGGGAGGAACCACCTTCCCCAGGCACTCCAAAGAAGTCAGAGCATGGCCTTATCGGAGAATGGGGACAACTGGCCCTGTTCTCATCAGCTCCTTTGGAATTAAATGAGATGGCTACAGAAGGAAAGAGATTAGGAAGGATGCAGAGAAGGATACAGAGAGGGGAATCGGGCAGTGAAGAGGTGGGTTATAGAGACCTGCAACTCCCCTGTGTGCCGTGGGAAGATACCAAGTGGCCCAGAACCAGATGTTTAGAAATGGCAGGAAATTCAGCTAGGCATGGTGGCACACACTTGTCATCTCAGCAACTCAGGAAGCTGAGACAGGAGAATCACAAGTTTGAGGCTAGTCTGGGCAATTTTGTGAGACCCTGTCTCAAAATAAAAAAACAAAAAGGTCTGGGAGCCAGGTGCGGTGGCGCACGCCTATAATCCCATTGGCTTGGGAGGCTGAGACAGGAGAATTGCGAGTTCAAAGCCAGCCTCAGCAATTTAGCAAGGCCCTAAGCAATTTAACAAGACCCTGTCTCTCTCTAAAATACAAAAAAGGGCTGGGAATGTGGTTCTGTGCTTAAGTGGCCCTGAGTTCAATTTCCAGTACTAAAAAAAAAAAAAAAGGTGCGGGGGACGGGAGGGGCTGGGGATGTGGTTCAGAAGTAGAGCACCAACCCTGGGTACCTTAGTACCAGGAAGAAGGGCGAAAGAAGAAAGGAAGGAAACTTTAGAACCTAACTCACCCAACACTTCCTCAATTACACACATGAAGACACTGAGGTCCAGAGATGGAAAGGATTCACCTGGGCCATCCAGTATTGCCAGGACAGAGCTTAGAGCCAGGGTTCCCAACTTCCCAGTGGAAGGGAAGGGAGAAAGCCATGGGCATGAGCCTTGAAGAGCCTGTGCACACAGGAGGGAGACCAGGATGAAAGGGCGGGGCTACAGGAGCAGCAAAGAAGACCCAGGCTAGACTCCAGACAGCCCTCTTTGGGACAAGGATAGACGAAACATGCGTGTGTCCTGGAAGAGGCTCCAGGGGGCACGGACTTCACTGAAAATATATTCCTTGTGGATTCATCCACCAGCCTTTCCCACATGGCCCCAGAGTCCCCACTTCTGCACCACTGCTGACACTGCAAACAGCTCACCAGCTGAGCCTCCCTGCACCCTTTACCTGTCACAAACACAATGCTCTATGGAGCCTGGGATCCCACATGCCTAGTTTCCTCTTCAAAACTCCCTCCTCCCTGTGCTTGTCTCCTTCTATGTGACCCAAGTCACTTTCTGCATGGTTTTATTTGTGTTCAGGTTTCATGTGGCAAGGGCATGGGCGTGAAGTCAAATCCTATCTGAGAGCCAGTCTCCCTATGTGTTGAGGGAGGAAAAACAGGTATAGGGCACAGCTCTGCCGGGGCCCCATTATATCTTCTTGGAGGGCAGGATCTGGGGCTGCATCCCAGCAGATGCCAGGGTTGAGAAGGCAAGTGGCAGATGTCCATAAAGGGCTTTGGATGAATGAGAGAGAAGGAAGCCTCCTTGGCCAGTTCCGGCCAAGAGCCGAATCAGCAAAGACACAGGGAGGGGAAGGAGCATCGGCTCCTCAGATCCAGTCATTAGCCACAGCCACGGCTGGGCTGGTGGCTGGGTGGTGATTGCAGCTGACACAGGGTTTGGGACAGGAAGGGCCCTCCTCTGGAAAGGGTGGCTGCCAAACCTTTATGGGCCTTCACTCTGGCCCTCAGCAGAAATCCTTCTGCCTCTTTCTCAGCTGCGGGGCCCTGGGGACTTCCTACTGAAGCTGTTTCAAAATTCTTTTCCTCAACACTTTTCTTGCCATGTCAATAGTTACACATCTTCAAATGTCCACAATAGGTTAAGTGAAAGAAGCCAATTACAAAACTTCAAAGCAGGACTGGGGATGTGGCTCAAGCGGTAGCGTGCTCGCCTGGCATGCGTGCGGCCCAGGTTCGACCCTCAGCACCACATACAAACAAAGATGTTGTGTCTGCCGAAAACTAAGAAAATAAACATTAAAAAATTCTCACTCTCACTCTCTCTTAAAAAAAAAAAAACTTCAAAGCAATGTGATCCCAATGTTTAAAATGTAGATGTTTTTTATATACGTACCAAAAGTCAGCAGGGCTTATTTTTTGGTGGCAAAATTAAGTGATTGGGGCTTTAGTTTTGCTTTTTGCTTATTTCCTAATTTTTAAAAAACTTTTTAAGAACATGAGTTTCTTGGGTAATAACAGCAAACTAATATTCATTTAAAATCCATTTGCTTTAAAATAAAACCAAGGAATTCTGTCCCCCTCCCTTACTACAGTGGCCTTTGCCCTCAGCAGGCATGAGGGTAAGTATGGTAGCCCCTCCTGGGAATCCAGCTCACGTGTTCACCTGCCTACTTGACTTCTCTTCCTGGATGTCTGGTGGTTTCTAAAACAGAACATGCCCCCCCCCACAAAAAAATACCTCTCCATGTATCCATAAACCTTCCATCTTGGTAACAGCACGCAGGGGCTCAGGCAGACTGAGTTATCTTTGATTCTTCCTGTCCTTTTCCCTGTACATTCCTGCTCTGTAATAAATTCTGTTAGTTCCACCTTTGGAACATATTCATAGCCAAGTGTCACTGTCCTGACTGAGCCACCATCACCTGGCTCCTGCCTCTACTCCTATTTCACATAACCCACCCCCTTCAAAGCAGCCAGAGTGATCTTCATACAAGACAAACCGTTGCTGCCCTCAAAATGTCCCACTCTTCTCTGGGATTATCCCTGGAAGGACAGGTGGTGGGAGGCTGAAGAGGCGGGGATCTAATAGGTGAGGGAAATGACAGGAATCGCACAGCAGGAAAGAGGTTGTCACCTAAGTCTCTGAACCATATTCCCCCAGAAACATTAATTGTCATCTACGCTCAGTCAGGTTTATTGTAAAACCACAAGTGAATAATCCAGGCCCCAAGACATTAACAAGTATAACGGTGGTGACATGATAGACAAGGCAAGGACAGTGAGCTAAGGGAACTGGGAGGGCCCCAAGAAGACTTCAAGTCAGCCAAAGTGACTAGATAGGGGCAGGGGTGCCCCAGGCAGAGGAAGTAGCCTAGGCAAGCAACGGAGATGTAGGAGTCTGTGCCCAGGATGACTAGTAGTTCTTCGTGATGGGGACTTAAAATGAAGGGGACAGTGAGGAAGCCATAAAGGGTCAGATCCTCTAGTGGCACCTTCAGGCATCTGAACATCATCCTAAAGGCAATAGAGAGCCATTGAAGAATTTGAAGAGAGGGAATGACACAGTCTGATTTGTGTTTCAGGACCACCACACGGGGGCAGTGTGGAGCGCGGGGCTGATCAGGAAAACTAAGCACAGGGCTTCACAATAAGGCAGCTGACAGATGATGGTGACCTTGACCAGGGTGGTGGCGACAGGAAGTAGAGAGAAGGAGATGGCTTGGAGAAAGCTGTAGGAAGAAGGAGCTGGTGATTAATTAGAATTGGAGCGAGTGAGGGAGAATGGCCCTTCTGTTGTGGTCTAGGGAACCGGACAGACAAAAGTGCTATGGGTGAGTGGGAAGCAGGAGGGCCCATGGGGGGCGGTGGAGGGAGGAGTGCCACTGAGAGCCAGTTACAGGGACAGAGAGGGCTGTGGGACAATGCAGATGTGGGGGACATCAAGGTGGAGGTCACAGAATAGCTGAGACAGTCCAACGGGCATGTGGTGAATTTAGCCAAGGCCCTGTGGAGCCAGAGGGAAAAGGGGCCAGACCAGGAAGGCGCACCAGTGATGGGAGGGGAGCCAGGGAGAGGCATCAGAGAGGCCGCATGAAGCAAATGTTTCAAGAAGGGAGTGGACACGTGTCAAATGCTGCCAGGATGTGAGATAAGGTCTGAAAAATGTCCGTTGGATTTGATGACACGTTGGTTACTACTACCTTGGTCAGGACAGTGCCAGAAGGAGAAGAGGGCCAGAGGAGGAGAGGATGGTAAGAAAGTGGAGGCGATGAGTGAGACGGAACTCTTCAAAGACATCTGACTGCAAAAAGGAGAGGCCGGGTAGCCAAGGAGGAAGGGAGCAGGGAGTCTCCTGAGAGGAGCGCCTCAGAGTGGAAGGGGCCAGGAAACAGGAGCCAGAGCTGCAGGAGAGAGGAGCCAGCAATGGGAAGAAGTCCCCAGGGAAGCTGAGGGCAGAGGACTGGTGCTATCCAGGAAGGCCCTTCCAGCTGCCTCCAGCAGGCAGGGTGAGGAGACAGAGAGGGTGGGAGAGGGGCTTGCTCCCGGGGGCACCCTGTGAAGAGGAGGCAAGGCCCACCTAGGGAACAGCGAGTGGCAGATCTGAAGAGAAGGAGCTGCTCCGGCCTGGAGAGGGTTCCCATGGGAACACAGGGCCATTATCCCCTGGCATCGAGGATCAGCTCAACACCTGGAACATCCCAGGAGCTCAACACAAGCATTTTTGTGTTTTGTCTGGTTTTTCTGTTGTTAAGGCTTGATAATCCAGCGAGGAAGCAGCCTGTTTGGCAACAGGAGACACAAGCCCCCCCTGAGGCCAAAGTCTGCACAGGCAGGCCCTGCCCCTTGCTTCCTCCAGAGCTTCCTTCCTCCTTTCCCTCACCCTATAC